TGCCTTGATCACTTTTATTTGTTTAGCTTTGCATATTTTTATTACATCAACCAAACTTTTTGGCTCACAGCAATTCATAAATTTTCTACCTCAACCATACTTTTCCATTTTTTCATATCCTTTGTTACTGCTTTCTTTTTAGACAAGAATCTAAGGACTTAGTGACACTTAGTTCTAGTTGTAGCAAACATAAAAAATTCCCACCAATCCCTGTGGAGACGATAACTCACTTATTACTATATTACTTGCATCGATTGTGTACACTTGCACATATTTGCTTGCCATAGTGCATATATTTACAAGGGATCAAGTTTTTGGCATCGTTATCGAGGATTGGCAACTGGAGGAATTTTGATAATTTTTTCCATAACAAGTTTTATTTTCTAGTCACATTTTCTTTATTTATTTTAATTTTACTTTTTGTGTTTTCTTATTTTATTTTGTAGGTTTTTTTTGTTGCATGACCAAGAGATCTGCTGACGAACCATTAATATCATTCGACCCTAAGATTGAGCAGTTATTCAGACAAAGGCAACGTGCTCAGCGTGCCAGAGACTACATGAATCGACTATAGTTTTAAGTTGACAACCCTATGGAAGATCAAGCAGATCCCGATGTCGCGAAAAATAATATTCCCCAAAATACTGCAAAACCACGAGGTATACAAGATCACTTAAATTCTATTCTCGATAATCTCAACCCTAGAAACGTGGCACTTGAAAAAAAGGCAACCCACTTTGAACTCAAATCAATGATATTCAACGTGATCAATACTATTAGTCAGTTTGGTAGCTTGCCTAATGAAGATGCTAGACAACATATACATGTTTTCCTTGAAGTGTGTAACTCATTTAGGTAACAAGGAGTGCACAAGGACGAGCTGAAAGTTATTCACTACTCTTTACGTGACCGAGAAAGAGGTTGGTTGAGTGAAGTCTCATCCAGGTCAATGGAATCTTGGGATGACTTATACAAAAAATTTCTTCTTTGATACAATCTGCCCAATATGCACACCTAGCCCTGCACTGACATTGCAAGTTTTTTCCAAGGCGATAACGAATCTATGTATGAGTGCTGGAACATATATAAAAGTTTGTTTCATAATGCACCAACCATGGATTCCATGATTGGACTTAAGTCGTCATGTTCTATAATGGTATCAATGCACCTACTCACATGATGTTAGATGCTTCGGCGAATGGCACTTTTCTTGACAAATCACCCAAGGAAGCCTTTGATATCCTCGATCAGATAACCAACAACGACTACCAATTCCTATCTGCAAGGCTTGACACTGGTAGAAAAATATCTGGGGCATATGAACTTGACGGTAAGGATTCAATTTCTACCCAACTTTCTGCTATAACTAACATGTTGAAAAATTTACAACGTTTTAGTGAGGTGAAAGAAGTCAAGGCAACTAACTCAACATGCATTCTTTACTGTAACAACCATCATGAGAGTGAAAGTACAGAAAACCAAGAGTCTATCAATTTCATGGGTAATTTTAACAAAACAACAATAACCCTTACTCTAACACATACAATCCTGGATGGAGACAACATCTAAATTTTTCATGGGGTAATCAAGGGAACAACAATAACAACTATGTAGGCAATTTTAATAAGCCACAACAAAACGTTTTTGAAAATTCAAGTTTGCAGTAATAACAGATGCCTTAGCAAAATAACAATAGAGGTAATCATCATCGTCAAATTGCAACTTCTTTGAAGCCTCATTGCCGATATTTATGGCCTCGACAAAATATTTCATGGCATCAACAAAGACCTTGATACACGAGCACTCATCGACAATCAAGAATCAAAGAGATTTGTTATAAAGTGAAGCATCTCTATTAAAAAGTCATAGTTCATCATTGAGAGCGTTGGAGAATCAAGTGGGCCAAATTGCCACAGTAATACATTCTCACCCATAAGGAAGTGTCCCTAGTGATATTGAGGTCACTAAGGCTCATTGAAATGAGCAATGCAGTGCACTTACACTTAGGAGTGGTTCCCAAATTAATCTCGATGATAAGTTTAAGGGAAAGAAGCGAGAAATTTCTTGCCAAGGCACTACATAGGAAGAACCAGAAGGTCAAGCTAAACATGCTGAACATAAAGACTTGTTTGAGGATAAGAAAAAAGACGAGGGGTTAACAAGTCAACCCAATGATGGTGGAAAATATATTACCAAGGAAAACGTTTTACCCCCATCTACAGTAGATGAAATCTAACCTCCACTGCCTTTCCCTTAACGGTTAAAGAAGCATAATGATAAGATCTAGTTCAAAACGTTTGTTGACGTCCTTGATAAGTTGTATATAAATGTCCCACTTCTTGAACCTATTAATCAGATACCTTCTTATGCCAAGTTCTTAAGGATATGTCACAAAGAAGAAAAAGGTGGAAAGAATAGAAAATGTTGCCACTGCAACAGAATATTGTTTAGCATAGACTTCCACCGAAGCAAAACAATCCTAGAAATTTTGCAACTGGTCGACCGATCAAATATTCATCCGGAGGGAATAATTGAAGATGTGATAGTTAAAATGGAAAAGTTCATCTTTCCAGTAGATTTCCTTATTATAGACTGTGAGACCGATAAAAATGCACCTATTATTCTTGGGTGTCCTTTCTTAGCCATTGGTCGCATCTTAATAGATTACGAGAAGAGAGAGCTTGTGATGAGGGTGGATGATCAAAGTGTCACTATCAATGTCTTATACACTCTTAAATATGTTGATGATTCTGAAGAATGTCTTTGCATTGGAGACATGAAGCCCCATAAAGAAGACGGGACAAAAAATTTTGGTCAAGGAAAAACTTTACATCTAGACGAATATGATACTCTATGCAATGATAACATTACCCAGATTAAGGAGTGTAAATTTTTTTATCCTGACGATATTTTACAACCAGGGAGACAATAATTTTGCCCAGTCGAATTTGTTCAGAATGGGGTAGGCCAAAATATTTGCCCAGGCAAAATTTTTCTGACTAAAACAAACGTAGGATTTACTGAAGATAGAACAAATTAAGAGTCTGAGGATTATTCACTGGAGGTGGAACAATCTAGCTTACTTCAAGTTAAACCAAGTATGAGATTCAAACCACTTGATTTCATTGAATTTGTTCTTCCAAATCCTTCGTTAGAGGATGCACCTACCTTAAAACTTAAACCTTTTCCATCATATTTGAAATATGTTTATTCAGGGACTGTTGATACTTTACCAGTTATAATTTCTACTAGTCTAACCCCCGAGAAAGAGGGTAGTTTGTTTAATGTTTTTTCACAACACAAAAATGCTCTGGGGGACTATGGTAGACTTGAAGGGGATTAGCCCTACCATATGCATGCACAAGATCCATCTAGATAAGTTTCATAGCAATTTTGTGGTACCCGAAAGGAGGCTTAATCCTATAATGAAAAAGTGGTGATGAAGAAAATCAAAAATAGCTCGATGTTGGGGTGATATATACCATATCTGATAGCTCTTGGGTTAGTTCAGTTCAATGCGTACTGAAGAAAAGGTGGTGAGATTGTGGTAAAAAATTAAAATGATGAGCTTTTGACTACATGAACTATCACATGCTGACGAATTTGTATGGATTATAGAAAGCTCAACAAGGTGACAAAGAAAGACTACTTCCCCCTTCCTTTCATTGATCAGATGCCTTAACACTTAGCAGGCAAGGCATTTTACTGTTTCCTTTATGGATATTCTAGGTATAATAAGATTTCCATAGCACATGAAGATCAGGAGAATACCACCTTCACTTACCCATATGGTATCTATGCCTTTCAGAAAATGTCATTAAGACTATGTAACACCTCGATAACTTTTTAGAGATGTATGATGGTCATTTTCACAGACATGGTTGACGACTTCTTGGAAATATTTATGGATGATTTTTCCATCTCGGATGATGACTTTGACTAATTCCTCTATAATTTATCTAAAGTGCTAAAGCGATATGAGGAGTCCAACCTTGTGCTAAACTGGGAGAAATATCACTTTATGGTGGCAGAATTAATTATTTTGGGATAAAATTTCTAGCCAAGGCATTGAGGTTGACAAAGGCAAGATGAAAGTAATTGAGAATCTGCCTCCACCTATCACTATAAAGGGAATCAGGAGTTTCCTAGTGCATGAAAGATTGTATAGGTGTTTCATCAAGGATTTTTCAAAGATTTCAAAGCCTTTGTGTATGTTGCTTCAACAAAATCAACCGTTCATATTCAATGATGAATGCTTCAATGCATTCACTAATTTGAAGAAAAAAACTTCCCTAAGCCCAATTATTGTTCCATCTGACTGGGACACCAATTTCGAGCTAATGTATGATGCTAGTGACTACGCAGTAGGGGTAGTGCTAGGAAAAATAAAAGATAAAATCTTCCATGTCATTTACTATACCAGTCGTACCCTTAATGATGCACAACTTAATTATACCACCAATGAAAAAGAATTGCTTGTTGTAGTATTTGCCTTTGATAAGTTTAGGGAATACCATATAGAAACTAAGGTCATTGTACATACATATCACTCTACCATTAAGTACCTAGTTAATAAAAAGGATGCCAATCATAGGCTTATTAGATGGATACTCTTACTGCAAGAATTTGATTTAGAGGTGAGAGATAGGAAGTGTACTGAAAACCAAGTAGCAGATCACTTATCTAGGCTAGAGAACAAAAACATTTGTCATGACGTGAAAGAAATTCAGGACTTACCGGACGAGAAAATATTATTTGTCACGACAGTGAAGTGGTATGTTGACATAGTTAACGTTCTTGTTAGTTGTATTATTCTTCTAGATTTATGTAGCCATGGCAGGAAAAGGTTCAGACATGACGTACGCCATTATTATTGGGATAAATCGTTCTTATTTAAATAATATGGAGACCAAATAATCCGAAAATGTGTCCCTGAAGAAGAACATAAGGAGATCCTAGTTCATTTCCATACATCCTTATGTGGAGGGCATTTTGGTGGAATGAGGACTGCTATAAAGGTCCTCCAATCCAACTTCTATTGGTCCACATTATTCAAGGATGCTTACGACTTTTATAAGTCATGTGAACATTACCAATGCAATCGGAAAATATCAAAGAGAAATGAGATGCCATGGCATAATATTTTGGAGGTTGAGCTCATCGATGTATGGAGAATTGATTTTATGGAACCCTTCCCAACATCTTTTGGTTATCTATACATCCCCTTGGCTGTGGACTACGTCTCCAAATGGGTGAAAGCCATGGAAACACCTCGCAATGACTCCAAGAGGGTTTCGAAGTTCATGCACAAAAATATATTCATGCGTTTTGCAGTACCACGAGCAATTATCTACAATGAAGGCACTCACTTTGACAACAAATTAATTGCAAAGGCACTGCAAAGATACAGGGTGCACCATAAAATTGCCACGACATATCATCCCCAGAGCAATGGGCAAGATGAGGTTTTAAATCGTGAGATCAAGCAAATCCTTGAGAAGGTGGTCAACCCTAAACAAAAAAAGTTAGCCACCAAAGCTGAATGAGGCACTATGGGCATATCGTACGACATTTAAAACACTGCTCAAGATGTCTCTATTTAAGTTATTGTACGACAAGGCATGTCACTTGCCCATGGAATTAGAACACAAGGTGTACTGGGACATCAAGAAACATAATATGGATGTGCAACTTGTTGGTGAAAGGAGATTGTTGGAATTAAAGGATATGAATGAATTTAGAGCTTAGGTGTATGAAAATGACTGCCTTTACTTAGAAAATATAAAAAGATGGCATGATAGAAAAAAATTTCCAAGGCAATATTTTCAAGGATAACAAGCATTTCTCTATAACTAAAGACTCAAGTTGTTTCCAGGAAAGCTGAAGTCCATATGGTCAGGACCATTCATAGTACATCAAGTGCATAACCACGATGAAATCAAAATCTTGAATTCTGATGATGAGACTACGTGTAAGGTGAATGGTCAAAGGCTGAAGGCGTATAAGATACCACCAATCCTGTGAGATAAAGCGACGTCGCTACTCCACGATGTCCAAGAGTTTGCTCTTATTTCCTGAACAAATTTTGTTGCTCAGGCAACATAATTGGCACTCTGCACAAATAATTTTGGCTTATTTTATTCTGCACGGGTTGTTTATTTCAATTTTATTTTTTAATCTTGTATCTATTTGTGATCTTGTGACATGTGGTAACTTAATGCTAAATCTCATGCATGGAAGAAAACAAACCCTAATAAATTATTTGGTAGCACTTTTGAGAGGGAAGTTATTTCTTCCATTATTTTATTTATTTTTATCCTATAAAAAATCTTTTACAATAATAACCATAACTCATTTTGTTTTGCTTTTTACCTATTTACCCCTAAGAAACCGTCCACTTTCTCCAAAACAGCCTATTTTACTCTATCTTTCTCATCATACTCTTTCACTCACATTTCATCTTCATATTTTGTTTTCTCTCCCTTTTCACCAAAACCCTCCATAGCTGCCATAGAAAATCTTTGCTCTCTGCACAAAATATGTTATCAAGAAACTATGGCTTGCTCTAATTCAAATCCTGGTGCTTCTACTTCGACTGTCGCGGCTACACATTTCCAGAGCTTCCAAAGTGCTTAGGCTGAGACAAGATTTAAGACGTTACAAAAATGCCAAGTCTACCTGGAGGATGATTTTGTCTTCCTTGCGCCTAAAGAGGAACCATTCAGGTCAGAGGTGATGGACATTTTCTGGAAACACAACTGGTAACAGTTTCCCCGATATCCAAAGGTGGTGGCACTGGTATCGGTCTGGGAGTTTTATTCGCACATGGGAGAATCATCCCCACTGTCTATGTGTGAGGGAAGTTCATCCGTTTCACTCTCTTCACCAGAGAATTAAAATCCCAATTGTAAGAGTTACTTGATAAGGAATTTGTGAGACCCAATGTTTTTCTTTGGGAAGCACTGTGCTTTTTGTGAAGACGGGTCTATGCGATTATGCATCGACTACCATCAGTTAAATAAAGTAACCATAAAGATTAAGTATTATCTTCCAAGGATTGATGATATATTCGATCAATTAAAAGGCACAACATTGTTCTTTAAGATAGACCTAAGGTCAGAATACCACTAATTAATGATTAAAGATGAGGATATATCAAAAATAGATTTTTGAACTCGGTATGAACACTACGAATTTGTGGTGATACCATTTGGATTGACTAATACTCCTGCATCATTTATGGACTTGATGAATCGAGTATTCCAACCTTGCTTGGATCAATTCGTGGTGGTATTTATAGATGATATTTTGGTGTATTCCAAGTCAATAGAGAAAAATGATGCTTACCTTCAGGTGGTTCTTCAGATACTTCAAGAAAAGAAATTGTTTGCCAAATTATCCAAGTTGAATTTTGGTTAGCCGAGATTTCTTTTCTTGGTCATATAGTCTCCACATAAGTCATAAGAGTATATCCTAAAAAGATTCAAGCTATAGTGGATTGACAACCCCAAAGAATGTTCTTGAAGTTTAGGGTTTTTTGTAGCTTATTGATTATTATAGATGGTTCGTGAATAACTTCTCAATGTTAACTTCACCACTAAATCAGTTGTTACGGAAGGATGTGCCTTTTGTTTGGTTAGAGAAATGTCAAGAAAAATTTGAAATGCTAAAGAGAATTGTAACAGAAGCCCTAGTGCTTGTACAACCTGAGTCGGGTAAAGACTATGTACTCTTTAGTGATGCATCTCATAATGGGTTGGGATGTGTGCTTATGCAAGATGAAAAATTTGTGTCTTATGCCTCGAGACAGTTGAAAACTCATGAGAGAAATTACCTGACACATGACCTGAAATTGGCAGCGGTAGTGTTTGCTTTGAAACTTTGGCGTCATTATCTGTACGCTAAGGGGTGTCTTATTTATACGGATTACAAGAGTCTAAAGTACTTGTTGAATCAAAAACAAATGAACTTGAGACAAAGGAGGTGGATCGAGCTTTTAAAATATTATGATTTGATCATCGATTATCATCCCGGAAAGGCTAATGTGGTAGCAGATGCACTTAGTTGAAAGACTTTTGCCGCTCTACGGGCTTTGGATGCATGTATGTCTTTAAAGAAAGATGGTTCCTTGATTGCTAAAATTAATTTAAAGTCGATGTTGAATGCTTGGCAAGAATTGCGCAAGTAGAAAAAGAAACAACCAAAGACTTCGAAAGGAGGGCTGATGGATGTTTATATTATCGTGGAAGACTTTGCATTCCCAATAATGATGAATTGAAGAAATATATTCTTTCTAATGCACATTATAGTCCTTTGACTATACATCCAGTTGGGATTAAAATGTATTAGGATATGAAGAGTAGTTATTGGTGGCCTGACATGAAAGAAGCTATATCAGAGTTTATTGCGAGATGTCTGACATGTCATCAAGTGAAAGTTGGACATCAAGTGCCATATGGAATGCTACAACCGATATCCATTCCTGAGTGGAAGTGGGAATAAATTACAATAGATTTTGTTTTGCGACTACCTTTGTCACGAGGTAAAAATGACTCGATATGGGTAATTGTAGACATATTGACCAAGACAACTAACTTTATTCCAATTCGGGTAGATTACTTGATAGATAAATATGCCGAATTATATATAAGAGAGATAGTTCATCTGCATGGAGTGTTTATGTCAATAGTTCCGATCGAGACCCAAGGTTTACTTCAAGATTCTGGAAGTCATTACATGAGTCATTGGGCACTCGATTGAATTTTAGCATAACTTTTCATCCAAAAACAGATGGGAAGTCTAAATAAATTATTCAGGTATTTGAGGATATGATAAAGGCATGTCTGATTGAGTTCAAAGGATCGTGGGAAAGGTACTTGCCTTTAGTGGAATTTGCTTATAACAACAGTAACCAATTGAGTATTAAGATGGCTCTGTATAAAGCCTTGTATGGGAGAAAGTGCAGAACATTTTTAAATTGGTTTGAATTAAATATCGAGACTTGGTTTGCCCATAATTGATGAAAGAAATAGAGGAGAATGTGAAAATTATTCAAGATAATCTGAAGATAACCTCTGATCGACAGAAATCTTATGTTAATTTGAAAATGAAAGAAAATGAATTTCAAGTGGAAGATAAAGTATTTCTAAATGTATCACCTGGGAAGAAAGTACTGTAATACCCTAAATATCAGGTCAGTGACTGAATTGAAAGAATTTGAAATTTGGGGGATTAAATTGAATAAATGGTAAAGTATAATAAATGATTTAGATTTTGTGTGTAATACCAATTAGTAAGAATGGAAGAATGAAAGTGGCATTTTGGTCTTTTAGAGGAGAGATGGATTTAAAATTATTTTAAATAGGGTATTTAAGAACAAAAAAAATGGGAAAGTTGAAAAAGAAGCCAAGTTATCTTCACTTCTCATTCTCCCCGTGTATCAGTTCTCTCCATAGCTAAAGGTGAGTTTCCTCCAAGTTGGTTTTTCCTTTAGTTTAATGGATGGTTTTGATTATAGAGGTTTAAGGATAGTTCAGGGATACTCAAAACTAAGTGATTAGTGAATTATTTGAGATTGAAGAAAATTGGTTTTTGAGTGATAATATGAAATATGAGTTTTTATTGAAGTTTAAAAGTATATTTGACTTTCTAAAGAGATAAATAAAAGATTAGAAGCCTTGGAAGTGATTAAAAACATGTTTGAGATTTAGGTGTAATTTTAGTTTTAAAGGGTTCTTTGGAGTTATTGGATGTTATAGAGAGATTTATGAATGTAAAACAGTTGGTTTGAATAATGATGAGTTTAATGGTATTATTAGAGGTTAAAATAAGAGATTTTATAGAAATTTGGGCAAAAATTGAGCTGAAAAATGGAAAATCTGGGTAAGGGTATCGGTACTTAAGGAATAGTATCGATACTATAGGTTTAAATTTAAAGAAATACGATTAACAATATTGATACTGATGCAATTGGTATCGATATTTATGTGGGTATAGATACTTATGTGGGTATCGATACCATGGATTCCATAATGCATAAATGTATCGATACTGAAAGGGAGTATCGATGCCATAGTATAGAAGTATTGATACCATGGTAGGGGTACCGATACTATTAAGCCTGGAATTTTAAGATATATTGAATTTTAATAGAAATTGAAAATAATAGTACTTTTTAAGTATTATTAAAAGAATAAATGTTAGAAAGTATACTAACAATTGTATGGTATGTGTAATAGTGGATGCTTGTGTACATCATAGCCAAGTTCAAGAGTCCAAGAAGAAAAACGGAAAATATAAAGTTTTCGAATAGTTGGGCATATCAGGTGAGTGCATTTATTGTATTTATATGGGATGAGGAAGACTCACAATGAGTCAACCTCAAATGTTTTGATTTAATGTATGTTTTACACTATTTGATATATTTTTATAATGTATATGGAATTATATTATGAATAAGTTTTAGAGTATGAACTGCTCTAAAATGAATGGATGAATATTGATGTTGTTCAATGGTTATCGAGTGTGCTAAAATAAATACATAACA